GAGCAGGGAGCCCAATGCAGGACTCGATCCAGGGACTCCAGGATCATGACCTGAGCCGAAGGCAGTCGCTTAACCAACTGAGCCACCCAGGCGCCCCGAAAGAGTCTAATTTTTAAACTACAGTGTGTGGCTGTGAAAATAGAAAATGTGGGAAAGAGTTCTTTGGAAATGAATCAGCTTGCTTGGATGGCTGATGGTTGGGAGCAGAGAGGAGGGTGAAGTCCAAGATGACTCTGGGATTTTATGTTTTGCTAGTGGGGACAGTAGTGGAAAGGAGAGGATTGTTGAGTTTGTTAGAACGGAGAGCTCTCAAAGGAGCATTTTTCCCTGAGACTGGTGTGATTTACTTATGTGTTGGCACGAGGCCAGTGGAAAAGGACTTGCTCTGATTCTAAATCCCCTTTGTTGATTGAGGAAAACAGTTACTTTCTTCCACAGAGAGGTTGGGAGGAATAACTAGTTCAAATAAGTGTTGAGTGCTCCATGAGAAGCAGCTGAATAACAGCGAGGATGGTTCCAGAAGTGCGTCAGCTAATCGGGTGATTGTAAGTCTGCTGTTGTCTTCCTGCTGCAATTAGTCTACACGCCTAAATGCAGTAGCTAATTCATTAATAACTATGATTTATATAAAATGGAAGTAATCACCTCTGTTACGGCCATGGCAATTACTAATGGGAGAACCTATTATCTGTCATTTTGGGGGGAAATCAGAAAGTGTCCTAAATGAAAAAATTTAGAAAATGATTTGTTTCCTCAAGTCTGTAGTTTATAGAGGTGGGGGAAGGAACTTTCTAGGTGCTTTCTATATGCTAATGACATGATCTGTACTTTACTTCATTTAATCCTAGTTTACATGTGAGGAAAATTAAGGCTCTGATCTAAAATCCAAAATGCTTTAAGGACTTTTTGTAATTTGTTTGGCATCAAAACCTAACTAAGCTGACATGAGGTTATTTAAGTCTTTGCTTTATCTTGTTTAGTGTGAGCATTTAAATGTTTTACAGCAGAATATTAATGTCCTTGATTATTGGGTGCTCTCAGACTGGCTGAAGGTATCATATAATATGTGATATACTTACAATGTAACTTCCTCAAAATCTAAAACCTTCTGAATTCTGGGACACAAAATCATGCAGTAAATGGTGGGTCTCAGTTTTGATCCCAGTTCTCTTTCTGAAGATGGTTTCCTTCTCGCTGTATCATTTTGATGTAGGAAAGACGTTATTAGGTTCGAAGCCGACGACCAAGAAAGAATTCTTGAGACGTCTTTAGTGCAAAAAGGTGATTTTATTAAAGCACGGGGCCAGGACCCATGGGCAGAAAGAGCTGCTACACCGGGGTTGTGAGGGGTGGCTGATTATAAACTATGAGGTTGGGGGAGGTCAGTAAAAGGGAGGTTTCAGGAGAACTTTCATATGCTAAGGAGGACCTACTAGATACCAGAGGCCTTGCCATTGTCAAATTAAGGTCGTTTTTCCCCTCTAGCAAGGCATTAACATTAAGATAGTTGGGAGATTCCTGGAAGAAGGTCAGACATGTCCCACCCAGGAGCATGGGGTGTGGGAGGTTGCAGTGTGTCCGCTTATGCTTTGTTTTCAGTCTTCCTTCTGCTCCTTCATCAATTCTGCCTCATTTTATAGTTTATAGATGTTGTTTTAGTTCTAAAATTATGTGGGATTTTGGTTTTATTTAGGTATGGTAAGACATCCAGAAGTGGAAATGATTGTCACTAAGGAAGAAGTTTATATTCACACATCTCTAGAAACAGGAGGCAGGGCAGGCCACATAGCCCCAGCGGGGGAAGCACTTGGGTCAGTCAGGAGTCAGAGGCAGAGGGTTGAGGGAAAGCAAGGGCAAAAACCTTTATTGTGTTTTCCATGGGAATGAATAGGGGAGGGATTGTAGGTAAACTTGAGAAAGCCTAAAATAGATGGTTTGAATAATTTTGTAAGATTCCAGGCTTGAGAGTTTTCTCTACTTGTCCAGTACCTAGCCCTGGGGTGATTAGGACAGAAGAATATAAAAGCCAGTGAGAAAAGGTGGTTCAGAGTATTGGCTCTGAACTGGTTGGTTTGCATATCAAAGGTATGCTCACGGGCAGCTTGTTTGCTATCTTGAGGAACTGTCTAGCTCTCCAAGGGCAGTCTGTCCAGGTTTATCAAGACCCCCCCAAATGTCAAAGCATCATAAAAAAAAAAGATAAACACATTTTTATGTATGAAATAAAATCTATGTGGATATTATTCACTTAGAGCAAACATTTGTTGCTTGGTAAAAGTAACAATGATGATTCTTTACACTTCTGAGGGTGATTTTGTCATCTTTGAGCTCATGAAAATTTGCTATTTTCTCTTTTTTCTGCTGTATTAAACTTTGTATGTCCAAGAAATGCTAGAGATCATCTTGTCAATTATGTCTATGAAATAATATAACTATCTTAAAAATAAACCTACTGGAATTTAGGTATTCAGATGAAGATCCTCCCCTTGAAAGATATTTCCTGGGGACTATGCATTTATTTCAATTATGTCATCACTGTTCTTTTTCCTTGTTTTAGTTTGTTGTTGGGTTGTTTTGTTTTGGAATTTCCTTCAGGGTCTGTAGCATATTCATTGGATTACCTTTGGAGTATTTTCATCTCTTGAGGGTGCTTTGGTTTTGGGATACAGACAAATGCACGTTAGATGGAGTGAAAGATTAAGTCAATCATATGATTAAAAAAAAAAAAACAAAACAGATGTGACTGGAAGAGAATCAGTGACGGGACTGATATTCCCAGTAGGCCTCCGATTGGCCCCAACCACAACTCTGGGAGGTATGGCCCTTTGGTAGCCAGAGCAAAGCCCCACACCTGAAATAAAGGCTCCTGAACTTTGAGGAGACAAGGCTAATATTGATGAGTGGGTTCACATAGGCTTATTTGAAAATTGGCTTCCTTTGTGCATAAAGAAGGGAAGTATCTGAAAACAAAATGGGGGTGGGGGGAAAAAAAAACTAGGTGAGATTGCAATTGTAGGTCACTTCATAAGAAACTACATAAGAAAGAAAATTAACAGGGAAGAATTATTAGTATGTGAAACTATTGGACTTTTTTTTTTTTTTCTCTCCAAAATACGGGTCCTGAAGGACTGTTAAGTTAGGCAGGTATCGAATGGTAGAATATATAAGGCAGATAGAAGTCAAGTGGCAGCCCTGGGGTTTTGTATATGTGTGTGTTTGTACGGTATGCAATTTCTTTTTTTTTTTTTTTAAAGATTTTATTTATTTATTAGAGAGAGACAGCTAGAGAGAGAGAAAGAGCACAAGCATGGGGGAGAGGCAGAAGCGGACTCCCCGCTGAGCAGAGAGCCCGATGTGGGACTTGATCCCAGGACCCAGAGATCATGACCTGAGCCCAAGGCAGACACTTAACCAACTGAGCCACCCAGGCGCCCCCAGTATGCAATTTCTACACACTAAGTAAATCTTTCTGATATCATCCAGAGTGTTCTGTAGATTAAACTTACAAGTTTCTTCTTGCTTTGTCTTCTGGTGTCCGGAATATATAGCTAACCCCTTCATCCTTTAGTTTTGATAGTGTTCTAGAACACACTCACTTCTTTGTTCTCATAACCGTTTGTCCAAAATTTGATTTAGGCCCTTTGTGGTTTTTATTTATTTGGAGACTTTCTCTTGTTCTAGTGTGTTTATCCCAAAGGGCAGAGACTTTGATTCTTATTAGTGCAATGTCTGGTTCAGAGAAGGTTCTCATTGATACGGAAAGAAGGAATGAATTTACAGATAGGCCTTGAAACGAGTAGTTTTTGATTAGCAAAACTCTCTGAAATAGAATGATTCCTTGGAAGTCCTGAGGCTGACTGGTGGTCCAATTTGGTTCATAAGGTTTGGAGAAATCAGAGGATATGCATATTTAGAGAACCAATATTCTCTCTGTAAGGTACAGTGGAGAAAGCTCAGTTTTTTCCCTCATGAGTCATCCACAGGAGATTTTGAGTTCTAAGTCAGATTTTGACACTTGTAGGTGGTTCCTTACCCTACCACCATCTCATTGCCCAGACTGCCAGCTAAGCCCAGTTTATATAAATGACTTAAATTTCAGTTCAAGTAAGACAGGAAGGTAAATCTTCTGGAAAAAAAATTATATGGTGTTTTTCCAAAGTCAAATATCATTTACTTTGGATTATTCACATACTGTTCTCCTTCATTAGTGCAGATCATGAGAGTCTGTGTTATTTAAAAATAAAGGATTTATGTTGTGATTACATACGACTACCTGGTATTTGTCACTAAGACCCTAAATGAATGGAACATTTCCTTATTAATGCAAACTGTATATAAACACAGACTTTGTTGGCAGTGTGCTCTCGTATTAGAGCTATGACATTGATAGGTCATTGCTTATATAAAAAATTTTGTGGAAAAGTTGTTAATAGTTGGAATATTTTAAGATACTATATAATTAAGGCAAGGGTTTTTTGTGGAGTATGATGAAGAGGGATGTTCTTGGAAGGAACAAAACCATCTTCATTGCAGTAATCAAAAGATTTATCCTAAATTTGCACTCACAGCTATTTTGTTTCTTTGATCTTTAGTGCTCATATGCTTATTTTCCATATTAAGCTGTCAGTGATAAACATAATTTTATAGCATGGCCTGGGTCTTTAAAACTAAAAGATTAGCTGTAAGAAACCATCCTCTGTGATCTGTTTGCACTTAGACTTTGTACCTGCACTTAACAGAATTTTCTCCTGTTTAAAAATATAACAAATAGCACAATTTGTCTGAGTTAAGGCAAGGTTACTATTTAATAACATAGTTTCCTGTGATCTGTATTTGGGTGGTGTTAAGAGACATTTGTAAAAGGTCTTAAAGAGTTCTCTGAAGCTAATTATCTTTTGAAATCATATAGGACTAAAAACCTGGCACTTAGTAACTATGAAGGTCATATAGATCCTCAAGTAAAATGATGCATTTTTTTTTTTTTTTTCTGCCTTCAGTTCTCTTGCGGCTGGCAAGCGATGCTTTACCAAATGACATGACCTTGGCTCTTGCTTATCTCCTTGCCTTACCACAGGTAAGTTTCCCCTTACCAAGAGAAGACATCATGAATAAACAAGAAACCTGCACTGGAGATTTTTCACCAATAAATTGTTGATTATAGGCTTCACTTCCTCCTGATTGTTCTTTTGTGCAGGAAGGACTGTGGTGTCAGTATTCAGAGAGCAAATTCTACAATTTTAGCTGAAGTGTTAATTGCAAAATCTTCTTTTACACGCATAGGATCTGCCTTTACAGTTTTTCTGAATTCTAACGTAGTCCTCTTAAAGTTGAGCTTGGGATGATGCAGTGGAAACTTTGAACCAAAATTCTACAGTGATGACTAGAAATGTAATAGTTTGTGATGATTTCCTTAATTTCCTTTGAGCTAAGTTCCTTCTGTCATGTTCCTTTCTAGGTGTTAGATGCTAACAGGTGCTTTGAAAAGCAGGCCCACTCTGCTTTATCTCTCCAGCTAGCAGCCTATTACTACAGCCTCCAGATCTATGCCCGCTTGGCTCCATGTTTCAGGGACAAGTGCCATCCTCTTTACAGGGTGAGTCCTCATGGCTTCCACTTGATTAACAAGCAGAGTTAAAGCTTCTCTAAAATAGTTAAAACACGTGTTTATCCCTTTGGAGGGACTGATGTGCTTTGTGTCCAGAACGCATTCCCCGTGGCCAACAGCCCTTGCCTTTTCTGTGTTGGACATCATTGCTTTCCAGGCATCAGTTAAGAAGAGGTCGTTTCCAGTGTTTATTGTGAATGCTGATGCTTCCCACAACTTGGCTGTCATTTATATTATTTTGCAAAGTTCTTAGGGCAGGTTAAAGTAGTAGGAGTGGAGAAATGGAGAATTGGCTTTTTAATTCCCTGCCCGAAAGGAAGATGGCTCCAGTTTAGGACAGTAGGCAATACAGTTCTTTGAGTAGCGCTGTTCTTTGATTTATTTTAGAGCCAGAAATATGAGAGTATTAGCTGGACAGATGAAATGTTGAAACATGGTATACCCACTTGCCACCACGCTCCAGACAACTGTGATATTAACTTTATTGTTGATTTCTGAGCAAAAGTGCCTAAGGGTGGCCTCAAGTTACATGTGCCACTTTTTGTGGACACAGAGGTGTGACAGATGCAACTAGAAGATCAAAGCCCTCCGGGTTAACCTGTATATACCAGTTTTAATTATCAGCCTGGGGAAATTACCTGTTTTTTTGTACTGGAGTATTTTAAGAGAATTGCCATATCTCTTAAGCAAATATAGATAAGCGTAGATAAGCAAATATATCAGACTTTCATATCCACTATGTGTACAAATGAAAGGTTCTGATTGTACTGAGGCAGGATTCTTTCTCCCCTGACTTAAAAGCACACTGTGAAGAAGTAATTTCACAATCTAAGTGTGACTGAAAGTTCTAGCTGTCTCAGCCACCCAAAACATAGCTAAGTACATGAAAACATTCCATTTGTGGCAAAAATCTGTGGCTTTCCTTCATCAATTTTTCTTTAAAGAGAGTAAGGGTGGCGGGGGGTGGGGGGACCATCTACAACACAGGATAATCTCCCAAGGGCTTACTGTTATTAGATGTGGATTGTCCTGTGGCATAGTTTGATCATGATGAAGTTTGGCCAAGAAAGGAATGTTTTCTTCTTTTATCCAGTTAATAAAAGGTACTAGTTATTTTGGAGATTCTGAATTTATTTTTTTGTTTTTGATAGTTAACTGCCGCTTTGTACAGTTACTTTATCCCATGCTCTAGTAATTTTCCTTTGTTCTGTTTTTATGTCTCAGGTATGTTTTTATGTGAAATAAGAAATCGACCTACTGTGCTATAAATTGAGGGAAAGAAGTGATTATATAGGTGGAAATGTGGCAGGTTTCCTTCTGGAACTTAATGGCTTTCTTACATTCAATCAGAATGTTCACAGCATGTTTGCTGGAGTCTGCTTCTAAATACCCTATCTTTCATTAGTGCTGTGTATGTACCCAAGTAACCGTTTCCCCTGAAACTCCAAGTATGTTGAAACACAATGAAGCTTTACTTTGACCAAAAGGATTATGCCTTGTTATAACCACCAGTCATGTCCTCAGAATGTACTTGACTGAGATTTCTGTGTGGCTCCTGTGGGAATGGGAGCCACCTCTTTTGTTCCCCCGTCCGTGGTCTGTGTTAAGATCACACCATGTGCCTAGCACTGTGTTCCGCTTTCCATGAATAAGGAGGATTGAAAGGCCAGTCAGCTGGGCACCTCGTGTGTGCCGTGGACTCTGACCGAGTGTTAAGATGAAAAGCCAGATGTGGCTGCCTGGACCCACCACTTACTATAAAAGCGTAGAAGACAGTTGGGTACATGGGGATTGGGGTCTGCCCAAAAGAGCACTTAGTTAAAGGAGTCCTCTTGAAGGAAAATTCTAGTACAGCATATATTTTTCCTATGTTCCCTGATAGTAAATTATTTTGTACCAAAAGTTAAAAGTCCCAAATCATGTACTATTTGTGAGAGAGGTAGGTTAGGAGAAAACCATGAAATTCCATCCCAACTTTTGTATGTGAAAATCCATTTCCTTCTGCAGATGCTGCAGTCACTCCATAAGGACCCCATTTAAAATTTCCACAACTGAACCATGGGAAGAGACAAAGTAGAACATTGAAAGCTAAGGGTTAGAAGTAAAGGTGCTTCCATCTTGATTTCTTCTGTGTTCCCAACAGTTCTTTTCACTTAGAAGTGTGAGCATTTTATTTCCAGGTCCTGTATTTTGTATATCGAGTGCCTCTTGTGAAGGACCTAGAGCGTGGCATTGCAGTAAGAAGAATAGTAAGACTTGATTCCTGCCCCTTTTTACCCTTAACCCCAATTTCCGTTTCTTCCTTCCAGCCTGTGTCACCCTGCTGTTGCTACCCTTCAACTCTTGGTCTTGTTCCTGTCACCATTTTCCTATCAAACTATCTTTTCCTTTGAAGATGCCCCTTGGAACTCTCCTGTCTTGCTCTATCCCTGGGCCTCTGATCCTTGGTTGTTAGACCACCCCCCCGCCCCATGGCATGATTCCTAACACCTGCTCCCATTCTCCTTTTGGGCCCAGTAGCAGAAGGCAGCTGCTGTTCAGGGTCATTGCTTCAGGAAGCAGCGTTAGATCTGAGTGGGAACAGAAGCCAGTAAAATCCATGTGGCCCAATGGTGATGTCTCCGAACATGATTTCTAACTTCTCAGCTGCTCCAGACAGAAACAGGTGTGCCCTCCAGGAGTGTTAAGACAGCAGCAGCTCCTCGGGCCAGCTCATTCTCCAGGGAGTTCTTGGCAACTCTGTTTGAAGCATTGGGTTGGTTGGTAGCCTGAAAGGTGAGCGGAAGAGTTAGGAAGTATCCATGATTTTTCTTTTTTTTTTTTTTAAAGATTTTATTTATTTATTTGAGAGAGAAAAGCAGAGAGAGAGAGCATGAGAGGGGGGAGGGTCAGAGGGAGAAGCAGACTCCCCGCTGAGCAGGGAGCCCGATGCGGGACTCGATCCCGGGACTCCAGGATCATGACCTGAGCCGAAGGCAGTCGCTTAACCAACTGAGCCACCCAGGCGCCCGATTTTTCTTTTTTTAACATCAAATACAAAGATGGTCTGATATTCTTCCAGATAGATGTGTTAATAGGGAGTTAATAGATGTGTGAATACATCTCCGGTTTTCTCCTCCCTGCCCCATGTCTTCAAGTTAAATCAGTCTCCGCGGTTCCTTCACCTAAACCACTGTAACAGCCTGGTAAACCCCACCCTGTCTTCATTTTTGTTAGTTTTGTACCTTTTCCCAGACATCTGTCAGAATGGCCTTTCTGAGGTGGAGACCTTGTCATCTGGCCTTCGGCCTCAAATTCCTCCATGATTTCCTGTTGTCCTGGCCAGGTCTGCACGTCCCCCACGGTCTGGCCTCTGCCTGTTTCTCCAACTTCATCTTCCTTTGTTCCTGCCATACCAGGCCACTTAAATTTCTCAAATGTCCTGTGTATTCTCTTTCCTTGTCTTCAAACCTGTACTCTTTGCCTATAATGTTTGCCTCCAGCATTTCTTTGCTTAGCTCCTTGGTTCAGGCGTTACCTCACCCGGGCAGGTTACCTGCCGCCTGCCGCTGGCCCGCCGTGCTCCCAGGCTGTGCCTGGTGCTCTTCCCTGGGCATTGTGCTGCCCTGTACTTACCTCAGTCATAGCTCTTAAACACTCTCTTGTTTGGAATTTAAATGCTTTTCATCTCACTAGATAATGAGCTATTAGAGGCCAGTGTCTGTGTTGTATTTATTGGTTTTCCCAATGCTTAGAGCAGGACCGGGATAATAAAAGGGAGTAAATAAATGTTCACTGGGTAGATTATTGAAAATTAATAAGTAATTCTGTAGCACATGTGAAATTGATGGAATTGTGTGTGTGTGTGTGTATTTGCTTAAGTATTTATCGGGTGATTACTTTATGCCAGGCAATGTTCTGGATCCTGGGGAAACACGAGTGAACAAAGTACATAAAAACCTTTGCCCTTTCTAGACTTACATTCCATTGAGGAAAGGACGTCATAAGCAAAATAAGTAAATAAAATATATACTATGTTAGATGGTGATAAGAGCTATGAAAAAGAAAAGCAAAGAAGAAGAATAAGAAGTATGTGTATGTAGAGTACAATTTAAACAGACTCAGGAAGCACCTCAAATTGAGAAAGTGACTTTTGAGGAAAGACAAAGAGTTGAGTGCAGTGCTGTGAAGATAGGAGGGGGAAGAGTGTTCCACACACAGGGAACAGCAGTAACAAAAGTATTGAAGCGTCACTGTGCCCATCATATGTACTATGGTATTTTTTCATAGTGTATTTGAGATGGTATTGAAATTTTACCATATAAAACTCAAAGTGTTGAAGAATTGCCTGCCTCTAGATGAAAAGGACAGAAATGCAATCTGTGACCAGACTTCACTGTGACCAGTAAGGTTTCCTCTGTCTGGCTAAGAAGTGTCAAAAGGAGTGTGTGTGTGTGTGTGTGTGTGTGTGTGTGTGTGTTGGGGGTGGGGTGGGTGACAGCAAGGGTCAGCTTAGGGACTTGCATAGGGGAGTTGTAAGTGGACAGTAGAAAGATCAGACTAACCTTGAAAAGGCATTGGCTCTCTTAAAATACCTCACACATTTATTCTGCCAGTTGATCCTTTGAGTAACCCCATTTGGCAGAAGATAAGACTGAGAAATCCAGTGACTCATTCCAGTTTGCTCTGGTGTAAGTGACATCCTATCACTTAGAGCTTCTGCTTCCAAGCTCTGCCTGCTTTTTGCTTGGACCTGAGTGGTTTCTGGCATGCAGGCCTAATGAGTCCTTCCCAGCGGGACATTCCACTGTGGCTACCGGGTAAAATGGAAACTCCTTCATGTGATAGGGAAAACCCTCAATGAACTGACTGGCTCTTCCTTACCCCACCAACCATGATCCCGACACCAGCTCTTTTGAAGTTTATGTTTTAGCTCTTCAGAATTTATATCTCTCTGAAGTTAACATCCTTTTTCACACCTCTGTGCCTGTGCAGATATAATTTCCCTG